GGTCCCTTGGGTTGTTGAGGGGTACCGGTTTATGCAGGAGTTGTATCTGTAACAGGGACCACAATGGGTAGAAAGCGTCCTCTGTGCTAGGCCTGGTCAGGAAGGAACGGTGTGGCTTAAGTTAAAGTGTGGAGTTTCCTCTATAGAATGAGTTGGACCCAGGGACCCTCGTCCTGACTCACTTGGCACATGTTTACTGGTAGCCTCTCACATTCTCTGGAGGAGCCCTTGACTCTGGCATTTTATTTAAATGGCTTGAAAGCCACTCAACCTCAGGGCAAACACTAAAATTAGCTGCTAGAGTTCAGTGCCTTTTAAAAAATGTCTTCTTAAATGAGATGGGTCAACTTTGCAGTGAGATGCAAAGGGATTATCTTCAGGCTCATGAATCAAGGAGACCCTAAGTTCTCTTTTCTTGCTAAGCAGGGCTGGCAGGAACTTTAGAATCACCAGGGCTCAGTGAATGGGAAGAAATAGGTGCCAAATTTTCTTACCTGGTAGAAGCCAAAAAGGTTTGTTGTGAGCAGTTTTACTTCACAAGAACACAGAAAGCAAGAGGCAAATGCCTTACTCCAGAAGCCAGGTTGTATTAGGTGAACAGACCTTCCCCAGAGTTTCCAGTAGTGCTACGGCTGGCATTACAGCTTTTTTTCTTTTTTCTTTAATGCTACCTTGTGCTTATAAAAAATGGACCTGGACAGGCACAAGACCCTGAGCTCTTTGATGAAGAATTCTCAGACCTGTTTTTCACTAAGGAAAGATAATAGAGATCCAACAGGCTAAAGGATTGTTCTTCAGGGTCTCTATGCAAGTGCAGAGTGTAGGACTTGCTTTGGATTTAGTCTGTCCAATCCTCTCAAAAACATGGGGCTCCAGACCTCAGAGAATGTCTGGGAGCTCATGTCCTTCTTTCCTTGGAGTAAAGGCCAGGGTAAGATGAACCTGTCACTTTCAAACAGACCTAACGCAGGAAGGAAACCCAGTTTGGCAGAATCCCAGTCTAGCACTGCCTTACCATATCTTTCAACACCATGGTTCAGTCCATCTCTGATATTATAGGAAAACTTGGGGTCAATTTTTTTTCAAGTGTGTTCATTTGGTATCCTGAATCACCCCTTTGTCACTGGTATTCATTATCATATTCTGAAATACCTTCCAGAGCAAATGCGGAGGTGGAATCCGCTTGTAAGGTTTGAAGAGATACTTGCTTTGCTCGAGGCCTTATTTTACAATGCTACTGTCTTAGAAATAGAAAAACATGGAATTTGTCAACTTCTCCTAGTTAGACATTCCTAAGGCCCAAACCCTTCTACCTGCATTTTTAACTTGTGAAATACCCACCCAGGTAAAATGAGGCATTAGCAGAAGCAGCTTACCACATCATCTTCAGTCCATGAGCCAATCTCAAAGGAAGGCAGCAGCTGCATGGGAAATATGAATGAAATGAAAAAGAGAAGGAATATTATCATTGTCTTTTTGCTTTATCCCCTTGTCTATTTCAGCTTTTGGCTGTTGCTCTGGCTTGGGTCCTCCTGCAGGTTAGATTCAATGGAAAACCATTCTTCTGACCTTAAGAGGAATTTCTCAGTGCCCCAAGGAATTTTGCCTACAGAATCCATCAACCTTCCAGTAAAAATTCATTGCACTCTGTGAGCTGTTGCCGTGGGACTCTGTACATCATAGATTTTTCTCTCTTGGCCCTGAGCACACCAAGAGTAGTTTTACATTCCACAATAGAGCTTGGCAGTCAAATAATTTCTGACTTTTGTCAGATACTAGAACCTTCCTCGGAATTCTCAGTCTACGTGAGGATTGTTTGATTTTTTTCTTTTTTTTTTTTTGTAGATAATTATTTTTTATTGAGGGGTAGTTGACACACAGTATTACATTAGTTTCAGGTGTACAACACAGTGATTCAACATTTATATACATGATAATTCTAGCTACCAGCTATCACCATACAGAGTTGTTACAATATTTTGACTATATTCCTTATGCTATACATTATATCCT